TCTTGGTTATTATCTTTTGGAAAAGTTACATGACCTAAGAACCGATTACAAGAATTATCAAAAACAAGTCCCGGAGTAATACTCATCTCATCCAAAACGAGAATGCAATCTTTATCCGTTTCTTTTTCGAAATGAGAGATTTTTATACGTAAAAATTCCCAAACTTCGTGCAGATGTCCTGTCTCAAAGCACAACCCTTCCAATTTTCTTGTCAACGTTCTCACAGATGGTAACGGATATCCTTCCTTTATAAGTGTGTTATAACCAGTATTGCCACATGCAAACTTTAATTTATACGCTTTTAATAAAGTCGTGTTACACCATTTGGGAATTTTTTTACATTCTTGAGTAAGCAACTTTATCTGATCATCGTTAAATAGTTTCGCATGGGATTTTTGCATACGTATTTCAGTTTTCAGTTGACAAATTTGTTGCAACAATATTCTCCTCTGCTTTTTATGTTGCGTCTGCATTGTTTTGTTGATTCTCTTGTATCTTTTTAGTAATCTATGTAAGATGTCGATTTGCAACCTACAATGTTTTCAATTTATTAGAATGTGCATTACAATATACGTACGATTTATTTAAATAATTAAACAGAATTGTTTTATTTGATAATTAATCTTTATTTTATTTTTCTATCTTTTACTACTTATTAACGTATTTAAAAACATTTCATTATTTGTACAATATAAACCAATTATATATGCTTTTTTACACTTTATCCGGCGAAATATTAGTTTGTGCACACGAGGCATAATAAGGAGAGCATGATCATTGGTAAGCTGTACGAATAGTAGAGCGCTGTGGACAGAGAGGATTTTCTGTGCAAAACGAATGTTCGTCCAGCCTGATACACGATCTCTCGAAATAGAGTGTAGTAATTACATATGTCATAATAACATTAATAATTTATCGAGATATGGAGACAACAAGAAAATCTCGCTCTAGCATTGTCTTGAAGAAAATATCCATAAAAGCTTCAAAAGTATATATTTATCTAAAACTGTGATTCACTTAACATTACAAATGCTTTGAATTATTTCATTGACCATGTAGCATGCTCAGTGAAACGTAATGACGTCACAACTGAACTGCAGCTTATATATGTGTGAATTTAATAAGTTTTTAATAAGAAACATACCTGGCTGTTTTGTTAATGCTCGTGTATCGATTTCTTCTTCAACTATACTGCACTCTGCTTGCGCAACATCTGTTGAATCTGATTTATGTTTTAGAAATAAATACACAGAGTTAGATTTAAAATAAACTTTTGATGCATTTTGTAAATAATCCTAGTATTAATACTTACTACAAATATTTGTAGATGAATGTAAAAACTTTTGATTTACTTTCAGAATACTTCGAGTAAATACTTTGTCAGTAACTAGAACAAAATAGTTTTTATTAATATTGTA